AACAATTTCAATCGGAATCTTCCCAAACGTGTGTCTTGGTCTTTATACCTCTTAATGGCTTATGGTCAGTAAATATTTTAAAATGTCTTCCCAATAAGTAAGACCTAAAATTCCTAGTTGCCCAAACTATCGCAAGAAATTCCTTTTCTATAGTTGAATATCTTTTCTCCGTATTACTCAGAGCACGGCTTGCGAAATAAAGTGGTAAATCAGAACCTACTTCTCCCTGAAACAATACTGCACCTAATGCTTCATTACTAGCGTCGGTTGTTAAAACAAAAGGTTTTGAGAAATCTGTATATTGAAGTATAGGAGGCTTCGTTATTGCCGCCTTCAGTCTAATCATTGCTTCTTGGCAACTGTCGTTCCATTCGAACTTTTCTCCTTTCTTTAGTAATTTATTAAGTGGTAAACACACACTCGCTGCTTATGGGATAAATTTCCTATAATAATTCACAAGTCCCAAAAATGGTTGCAGTTCCTTAACATTTTGAGGTGCTGGGATAGACTTAAGACACTTGGTTTTGTCTGGATCTGAAATTACTCCTTTGTCCGAACATTTATGTCCAAGGTAAACGACTTCTCGTCTTAAAAACTGACATTTCTCCGTTTGTAATTTTAAATTATTTTCTTTTAGTGCTTGTAATACTCTCCTTAACCTTTCGTCGTGTTCGTTTAAATTCCTTCCGTAGATAACAATATCGTCGAGATAGACGAAGCAATCTATCCTTTGTAATCCTGTTAAAATACTATTCATAATTCGCTGAAAAGTTGCGGGTGCTCCTGTTAAACCAAATGGCATTCTAAGAAATTCAAAATGTCCCAGACCTGTGCTAAATGCCGTTTTCTCCCTGTCTTTACTGTCTACCATCACCTGGTGATAGCCACTAGCCAAATCCAGCGTTGAGAAATATCTACTGCATCCTAGTTGGTCTAAAATTTCATCAATTCTAGGAATTGGAAACACGTGTTTAATTGTTTTTTCATTTATTTTTCTAAAATCAACCACGAGACGCCATTTCTTTTCCCCATCTACACCTGACCTTTTTGGTACAAGTATGATAGGAGAGTTCCATGGTGATTTACTCCTTATTATTATCCCTTCATCCAGCATTTCACTAACTTGCTTATTAATTTCTTCCTTATGTGCTTCTGGTAATCTATATTGTCGTTGATTTACCAGTATTTGATCATGACTTGTTGGAATTTCGTGTGCCAATACTGATGTGTAGGACAGTTTATCTCCTGGTAAGTGAAATACATCGTTATATTCCTTAATTGTCTGCGTAATTAACCGTCTTTCTTCATTGTTTAAATGCTCATCCAATCTTATTAATTTCAGTAATTTTCCGTACCTTTCCTGTAAGTTTACTTCTTTGTTCAAATTAACCTTAGGGACATTGTACTCATAGTACTCATTCATATCACTGCCCTTTAATTCAATTTCACTATTCATTTCAACTACATAGTTGTTTGCATTCAAAATTCTTACAAAACCTATTCCGTTTTTTACTTCTGTTAAACATTCACCTGAATAGACATTTCTAACTATTTGCTTTTTATGTATTACGAGTGTTCCTTCTTTAGCCACTACTTTTACTGGAATAATCATTGTTGATCTACCTGGGATTGTCATGCTTTCTGCTATACAAATCCGACCATGATCTACAATGCTTACCAGTGGTAAAGTAGCTAATTCCTCTTTATTCTTAAAATTTAATTTTAAAACCTTTTTAATTGTGTCTGTAGTAGACCGGTTCCACAGTTCATCTCGACCTAGAAGTCCGTCTGCTGGTAACTGACTACCTACTGGCACTACATGCATTTTGAATTGTAGAGCTGGAAATTTTCGATGTTCAATATTGACCGTACCCAATGTACTTATATTGCCTCCAAAAGCTCCCGTAAGACCCTTTGTGTCTTTGGTGTTTATATCTTTTAAATTGATTAACGCCTCTGTTTTTATAAGGCTGGTGTCTGCTCCCGAGTCAACTAATAGTCGAAGTTTATTCCCCACTGCACGTTCGCAAGGTACTTCTACATAGGCATCATCAAACGATTGACTACTGCTGCCTTTGGCATTGTAACTCGCTCCTTTTGCCCGTAGTACTCCTATTTGTTCAAACACCCACTCTGATTTTTCTTTCCAGTAATCCGATAGTATTGAACAATATGAAATATATATTTGTTCACCTTCAACACTATATTATTCAATTTCGGCTTTTTCAAATAACTAATTTTTTCCTCTGAATTTTTAAACCCTATTTGGTTGGTCAAATTTTCTTGCACTTCCTTATGTTTTATCGTGATTATACCATGATTCTTTGAATTAACCGCTTTGGCTCCTAAATTCTTCATCTTATTATTTGTATTCGTTCGGTTCTGAACATTGTTGTTGCTGTTACTTTTAGTTATTCGTGCAGGTCCTAAATTAAATTGACATTTACTTTTTGAATTTACGGCAGTCCAGTCTAATGTCTTAGACTGGGCC